AGGGCTATCACACGACTTCGCATTGGACACACCGCTATCACACACAACTACATCATCACAAGAAGCCCGAGACCGAAATGCAACACCTGCAACACTTTCATCACTGTCAAACATCTGCTACTCACATGCCCACAATACCAACACCACAGGACACACATACAAACATACTGCAGAGACGCCAACATCCCACTAACACTCACAACACTGCTCGGGGACTTACACCCCGAGCTAACAACACTACTCATCCACTAAAGACACAACACTGGGCTGATCAATGACCTGTAAATCTCCTCCCTAGAGCCAAGGAAAAAAGCCAAAAAAGCCAAAAAAAGAAGCAAAAAAGAAAAAACAATATTCAAAACAATGAGAATCAAAATAAAAGACCCCAGAATGGCAAAATGGCAAAAAAAAACAAAAACAAAAAAAATAATAGAAGGGGCAATCCGGCTACCCGGGAGGAGATAGCTAGGAACCCAGTCCCACCCCTCAGCCCACCCTTGCGAGCCAAGAAGACAACGGACACTTCAAGGCAACGGACGGACCAACAACGAAGACGGACGACAGAACCGGGCCCAAATACAGGACGCTGTGGTGGCCCGTAAGCTACAAATACCATACCATACCATACCAGTGCATCATGCAGCAGAATAAGCTTCATTGAACACACTCGTCATCATGAACGGCATCTAGGAGTTTCATGAGTTTGGATCTGTGACCAGTAAGTGGAATGGGAGCATAATGGTACACGCTACCAAACCAGATTTTTTTTTATAAACAAAACATTACGTTTATTACCGTTTGGAGGTGATTTGTTTTATTCGGTCATAGTGTCAATGTCATGTTTGATCATATAGGTAACGAAAAGCGTACCTATTCAAAACGTTTATTCCTTGTCATGATGTGCCTGCAGGTTGTTTTCGCAGTATCCAATAGCAACCGTGTATGACCAGGCGCCGCTTGGACGCCTTGTCCAGCCACGTCTTCCGGGACTGTGTGATGACTGCCTCTGCAATCTAAAGTGCCAGTTTCTGCCTCCGGCCTATTTCATTATCAAAGGATGCTGTTAGCTGAACGAACAGCTTTGCTCCAAGATTCCAAACGGTTTTACGGTACTGTATGCCTACACAACGTTAATATATTTTTTTTTTTGTAATGCAACAAGGGAACGAAAAGCGTGTTCAAAACTTTAACTCCTTGTCCTTATGTGCCTGCAGGCTGATTTCGCAGTATCCAATGGCAACCGTGTATGACCAGGCGCCGCTTGGACGCCTTGTCCAGCCACGTCTTCCGGGACTGTGTGATGACTGCCTCTGCACTATCAAGTGCCAGTTTCTGCCTCCGGCCCATTTCATTATCAGAGGATGCTGTTAGCTGAACGAACAGCTCTGCTCCAAGATTCCAAACGGTTTTACGGTTACTGTATGCCTACAAAACGTTAATATTTTTTTGAGGCGGTAATACTCGGATGAACTGACCTTTATGGGTGGGTATTCAACGTTGAATAAAGTAGGCTTGTAGCCCTCTGCCTATTGACTTCTAAGGGTTTTAGTAATATTTATCGAATATCTCATCTGAAATGCATTTTCACTCACAGTCGTCGAAATCGAAAAATCATAAGCTTAGAAATCCGCGGACTTGACATATTATATTTTATCGACGATTCGTTTCGACTTGCTGTCATGTCAGCTAATCATCCGTTGCTTCTCCTATTTTCACAGGTGCATTACCAGTCATCTTTACCGTCGATACCGTTGAAGATTTTACCGTCGATCACGGAGCACCCATTGCGCTGGCCGTTACTGGCACTTTTTTATTTGTCACTAGGTATTAGTTATCTGCTGATATACATTAGCCACCTGTACACCCGCTTACACTAGCTCTCATCATCTAGTTCTACGTATGTGTGTGTTTGTTTTAATTGTATTGCCGATGAATTCGGTAGACATGCTCCGCCCGCAAACATGTACCACATGATGCAGTTCACTGAATGTAGCAGTTAATCACTCGTAAAAAGCGGTCATGTTTTCGTATAGTGTAGGTATGCATCTATGTAAGCATGTGTTCACACTCATGAGCGATCCACACATGATCTTGCATTTCCTGTTCAGTTATATTTTTAGCACTGGAACACGATGCTCATACACTGTGTTGTTATCTTTCTTTTTTCGCCTGCTCCTTCCTCCAACTTGTGTCTTTGAGTATTTCAGTCACATGCTCAAACGTTCTTAAATGCTCTCGCCATTGGTTTACGGATGCGTTGAAAACGGACATGTGTTGACCAAATTTAACAATATGCGGACAATGGATCGACTTCTTGAAGCCTGTGGACGTGATACACCTTCTCCATCACCATCAAGAGATCAACATTTTCGGAGACACTTGCGTACGGCTGGTATGTATTCATATTTGAATGTCCATTGTCAACACGTTGCAGAATGCTTTACATTTTGTGTGATCATTTACTGTCCTCATTCCTACACAATGCCAACATGTTTGTCATCGTCTTCATGTACCTATCTATTGGGATTGATGTTTGCGTTTACTGACAGACACTTGTCAACATTTTCAGCAGTGTCCGGCGCAATGCTGAATGCGACCTGTTATCTGTTGGATCTACTCTGTGAGCCCGAACCCCAGTGCAAGTGAGTTGTTTGTTACACCAGTGCCGGAGCACTCTGTAATATGTGCAAGAGCCTGTGACTTTGTTTGCTTGGCTAACTAAACGCATACCTACGGAAAATCATTCCAACGTTGCTTTGGTTTTCAGTTGAGATGTCAATCGGATACCAACTTTTTGGTATACCGATACCAAACCGATACCAACTCGGTATTTGGTATTTCAATCCTAATGTGTTTGGTATTTTGTTGGTATCATGAACCCTCGCTAATGTCTAAGAGGCTAAGAAATCGGTAAAAAGTTGGTATTTTCCTCATGTTCCCAAGTTGGTTTGGTTTCGGTATATTTCTCCACGGTTTTGGTTGGTATTTGGTTTGGTATCGGTATTCCGATTTTCCGTAATTGACATCACTAGTTTTCAGTGTTTTACTGTATTTTTAAAGCAGTGCCTACACATATCAATCAAATATATCCCGCGCACCGACGGGGGGGGGGGCGGATTTCCGCCCCCCCCCCCTGAGGTTTTCCCACTATCTACGGTTTTCAGGTTTTCAGGAAAACCGTGCGCAGGATATTCTAAATGCCTTAATATGGTCCATTCCATAACCATCTAACCGAATTCCCGAATTCCCGATATTCGAACCGAATTTCGCAAACCTTCTCCCTTTCTGGCAGTGGCACTGTTCGACTACAGCGCTGGACGTCGTCTACTTTTTGCTAGAGGGAAAGGTCATCATCCGTCCATGAACTTCGGGCTGCTCACAGCTATATTGCCTTGGCAAGTTCTTTGAGCACTCAATACTGGACTTGGGCTGCGAAAGCTAATGACAATTTGAGGAGCTTGATATTGCAATGGCTATGACGTGAAGGTTCAATATGACGAACAGCTCGACTATTCACCATTGTCAACGCTTATGATAGCTAAATATCATTGTGCTTGGTGTACATTCACGTCTCGTTTCCTTGCTCCATTTGTACCTCACCGGTCGTCCGTCCCCACAGGCCTCGGCTGCAGCACAAGCCACATTCATCGGCCCAATCATCAGTTATTCATCCTGCAAGTTTTAAGTCACTTCGTTGTGACCCGGACATCGTCATCTTTCAACGAGTTCAAATGATTATTTCATTCATCATCGTCGATCAGACTCATCATGTAAAGACACTTCCATAATGCTAGCCGCCATCTACGTTTGTGCAGGAAGCAAATATCAGGTTGTTATTAGCTGCGGGCTACTCAGTACCGACTGAACTACTGGCAGTAGTGTGCGAGCACCTAATACTTGTATTGTGATACCAAAGCTAAAACGGATGATAGCTTAGCGCATAGCGCCCTACCGCTTTCCACACACACACACACAAACAAAACTTGACTTTGGGCATTAGCACCATGGCAGGATAAACAGGCAGTTTCGCTGTTTTTCACTGCTTTCATTGGCAGGTGTTACTGCTCATTCCCGTTTTATGTGATGTTAGAACAGCCCTTCACCATAGTCCTGTTTTCTCCTTTGCCGTTTTCCATAGACATCAGATGCGACATGCACTCCAACGATCGGTCAGGCGCATCACCGTCAATCCGGTCGCCTGTTAAGCAGTTCGTAATCACCGTCAGTCTTCGACATCTGTCAACACACTTATCCACATTATCGCCTTACTTTTGATCTTATCAATATGCAAGAATGAGTGCAAAATGCATTCCAATATTGCATCAGTTGATGTTGTATCGCAATGACACCGCGTCCTCACCTCACATCTGTTGTGCATACTTGATCACGAATGCCAGTTATACGCAGATTCACATGGTGAAGTTTTACTCCGTTGACGTTTTCTTTCCATTCTTGTAGTCGATCAAGAGGGATTACAGTTGCACATGCGGCCTTACACATGCGTCCTTACATGTTAGCTGATTGATATGTTGGACACACTGGTTCCTGTGACTCCAAGTAGTTCTGCATTGGTATTGCTTCACTTTATATGTTCTACCCAAAGATCGTTTCTAGTTTTGTCTTAGCTTGCAGCTGTATGCCATGAACATACAGGGTACTGCGCATCTTTATCGTGACATTCCTGTAGTTTCGTCACTTTCGCGGATGATTAGGACCATGAGCTCAGTTGCAGATGCGTCCAGCAGCCACCGACATTTCTACACTTTAAATTCCTAGTCTCGGATCTTATCCACATACCAACATGATTTGAACATTTCACACGTTTAGTGATGAAATGAGCAGGTATCATCTACATTATATTTTCATGCAAAGCACACTCCAGTCTGTGAAAAAAGAAAACCATTAGGAGCAACAATCATGCCTTAGACAGTATAGTTGCCATAGATATTACGTTGTGCAGCGGGCAGGCCGGTGCACGAAATGGCGAGTGTGAATGCAGGAATGCGTGTGAAAAACTGCCTAGGTGTGGAGTGGCTGGTTTGTCTTCCGTTACATCGTAACGGGCTCTTGACGTAGTCTTTTTTTTAGTAACACCAATCATCTTTCGAACTTGAATTAACGTAATTGAAAAATGGCTATCACATTCGGAGCCATTGCTAATTGCGTCAAGGGCGGGCAGCGCGGTGCGTGGATGCCTTTTGGTAAAGCTCACGTCCTAATATACTATATCCTGCCCTTACCAAGCGTGCATCCATGTTTCCTCCATCCGGCTCCTCGTGCCGCTGCCTGGAATATTAGCCTACGGCTAATATACCAAGAGATGGAAAACTTTTCGTTGGTATGGAATATGGATGCCTCGTGGTTCAACTGGTGATGTTCAAAACAACTGTACCGTGTGTCAGGTAGGTCTTACTTACTCACTTTCCGCTTCATTTTTTTCTCGGCCGCGTAGGAAATATGATTTGACGGTAATCGTGGCGCTTTTGTTTCAGTGGCTGAATGACAGCGACATCTATAACTCAGGCTGCACTCAGAGCCCGAGTCTGAGTTTGGCTAAAAAAATCGCCCATAAAAAATTCGCCCATCGCCCGCCCGCCGCGATGCGGGTGATTTTGTTTTTGCGTCGTTTTCGGTAAAAGGTTTATTTTCGGTTGGCGGCGGCCGGGCGCATTTTTGCTGTTTTTGCGTTTGACGGCGGGCGGCCGTTTTTTTGCGGCGTTTTGCGGTTGGCGGCGTACGGTTGGCGGCGTAGAGTGCAGTGCACGTCAGTTCGTAGAACACGCACTCCGATCTGCACGTGCAAGGCTCATCCTCTCGTTTGGCGGCGGGCGTTTTTGCGGCGTTACAGAGGTGCTTGCTCAAACAACCTGCGGTCCCGCGATGCGGAGCCCAGCATCGCAGATGCTGGTAACCGCAGGTTGTTTGAAAAGACAAACACTATTCGTTAGAATTGTGTTTTTCTATTGAAAAACAACCGGAGCGGTCGTTCTCCGGGCTATGTTTTGCAAGTCTGGCCGCGAATTGGGGCAACTTGGGTCAGGCCTAGACTAATCCATCAATCTTCGTAAAAAGTTCAGGGTATGGGCTCCCGGAGGCGATCTACCTGATGGCACCGGTCGCTACTCGCTTAAAACCTCGTGGCACGTGGCACGTGCGATTCCATTTTCCCCATGTTAAGTCAACGGGGTTTTGGACACTTTTTGCGCGATCGCCAATGGCGGGAAAACGAGCCAAGGAAGAGGTGGTTTTCTTCCCAGCATTTTATGGCAAACACGTTTGGGTACACGCTAGTGTGCGCCGTATACCCCTCAGAACTTCGGAACGTGTCTTTGCACGAGGTCAAAGTTGAACTTTTTTCGCTCCCCATGTTAAGTCAATGGGCGTTTTTGCAGAGACTTTTTCATTCGCTCATTGTACAAAATTATATGATACGATTTTGTTTAAACTTTCAGGACTTGTTGAGAAAAGACCATAGAACATGTTGTTATGCTTCTTTAAGCTGTGCAAATTCGTTTGTTCTTTTTAGGCTCGTTTAAAAATGAAAAATTTTAACATGGAAAGTGAATGGGAGCGTCTTTGCTGCTTAATAACTTTTTACAGTTGAGATATATTTAAGTGAAAAGTTGATAGGTTATACAACTTTTGATGCTCTTTCCAATGATATATACAACTTTATTGCACGTGGTGCCGTTTTTGAGAAATATAGTAAAAAAGCACGACATTACCGAGATTTGAGCTCAGACCTATATCGTTACGGTGTCAGGCGGACACGAGGACAGGTGGCGCCGCCGCCGCCCGCATAGCGGCGGGAATGTGAACTAACCTGTTTACCAGAGGGGTGTTCACGGGCACCGCACACTGCTGCGTGCGCTGTGTGCGGTGCGTCCAGCAGGCGTGGGGGTAGGGGATGGGTAGGCGGTTCTGACGTCACGGCTGCGTGCGGTGGACGGTCCGCTGTGGCCAGTCCCGACCGGCCACAGCGATCGCTGTGTGCGGTGACGGAAGGCTGACGTAGGGACGCAGTGGGCGGAGCTTGGAGGCTGTGTGCGGTCCGACCGCACACAGGGCCCGTGGACAGCCCTCTGATCTATGGTATGGTACCATCGGGGGACCGGCCGCCGTCGGCACCATTTCGGGACTTTGCATCGCAATAAAAGGCTTATTTACAATTGAAAATGGACTAGCGAGAGTCGTTATGGAATCAGAATTTGATGCTCTACAAAACTAGGCTATTTTCATTGTGATGGCATCACAGACTACACCGCTAAACCCAATAAAGCAGATTTATGTCGCGTCATCGATGATTACATATAATGTTTCTTTGATATATATGTAGTCGGGTCTTTCAGCTGCGTCCCTCCCCTCCCTCGCCGCGCCGGCGGGTCGGCCATCCGCGGCTTGCCGCCCGCCGGCTGCTGGCCGGTCAGCTGGTCGCCCGCGGCTGTCGGTGCAGTGCGGGATGCCTACTTGCGGGGGCCGTCGTGGCGGCGGCCCGGGTGGACTGGGCGAGCAATGAGTTGGGGAGCGCTGCGCTGTCGTCGGTGCTCTAGTTTGTATTGCGTTCGCATGATACGGCTTGAGCCAATACAGAGTGAACTGATTGAGCTGAGCAAGTCTTTATATACATTGAAAAGTAAAGCACTTTTTACTGCATCTACGGTGAGATGCTAGACAAAATTTATGGTCTAATGGTACCCATTACTTAACAATTAAGTGAATCATTTCGTCGCTAAACTCTCGTAAATTCGTATGTCCGCCTCACTATGGAGTTTGGACCGTAACGTATAATGGCCTTTGCTCAGACAGTATACGAACAGGTGACGGGGATACCTCCCATAGAAGGATGCGACACGATTTTACTGCTAAATAGCGGCCGGCCGCCGTGGGGACGTTTTTGTACGACTTATATCTCGGCAACCACTGGGCTGATACACGTGCGGTTTTTTGTGTGGGGTAGCTTTTTCCCTTCTTTCACATAGTGTGCTACTCTCGATGCATATGGGTGACCCCTAACGCACGTTCCACGTGCAAAGCCAAGAGGTGCCTGTTTTGTAATAAGCGCAATAGCTCGCGGTAATTACTGGGCCGATTGCGCTAAAACTTGGCATGGAGGTAGACACTTTCCAGGCGATGCATTTCCATGTGTCTTGGTAGGGGTGCAACTGCACGTGCGCACGTGCAGGGTGACGCTTCCAGATCTCGAGAACGGCTGGACCGATTGTGTTCAAATTTGGCATAACGCTTGATACCGATCAGTAGGTTGCAGTCATTTAGTATGTATTTCCATGTGCCACGATTGGGGTGCAACTGCACGTGCGCACGTGCAGGGTGACGCTTCCAGATCTCGAGAACGGCCGGGCCGATTGAGTTCAAATTTGGTACACCGCTAGAGACCGATTAGTAGGGTGCCGACTGCCGTGCGCAAGTCAGTTTGGACCCATCTTGCACGTGCGCACGTGCAGGGTGGCGCTTCCAGATCTCAAGAACGGCTGGACCGATTGCACTCAAATTCGGCAAACATCTAGAGATCGATCAGTAGGGTGCCGTGCACAAGTCAGTTAGTATGTATTTCCATGTGTCACGGTTGAGATGCAACTGCACGTGCGCACGTGGAGGGGTCGTTTCAAGATCTTGAAAACGGCTGGGCCGATTGAGCTCGAATTTGGTACACCGCTAGAGACCGGCGAATAGGGTCCCATGCACAATGCAATTGGACACAGCTTGCACGTGCGCACGTGCAGGGTGACGCTTCCAGATCTCGAAAATGGCCGAGCCGATTACACTCAAATTTGGCACACCGCTATAGATCAGCGAGTAGGGTGCCGTGCACGTCAGTTTGTAGCACACCGACTCCGGTCTGCACGTGCAAGGCTCATCCTCTCGTTTGGCGGCGGGCGTTTTTGCTGCGTTTACAAAGGTGCTTGCTCAAACAACCTGCGGTCCCGCGATGCGGAGCCCAGCATCGCAGATGCTGGTAACCGCAGGTTGTTTGAAAAGACAAACACTATTCGTTAGAATTGTGTTTTTCTATTGAAAAACAACCGGAGCGGTCCGTCTCCGGGCTATGTTTTGCAAGTCTGGCAGCGAATTGGGGCAACTTGGGTCAGGCCTAAACTTGTGGCTCGATTTTCTTAAAAATTTCAGTGTATGGGCTCCCGCAGGCGATCTACCTGTTGGCACCGGTCGCTACTCGCTTAAAACCTCGTGGCACGTGGCACGTGCGATTCCATTTTCCCCATGTTAAGTCAACGGGGTTTTGGACACTTTTTGCGCGATCGCCAATGGCGGGAAAACGAGCCAAGGAAGAGGTGGTTTTCTTCCCAGCATTTTATGGCAAACACGATTGGGTACACGCTAGTGTGCGCCGTATACCCCTCAGAACTTCGTAACGTGTCTTTGCACGAGGTCAAAGTTGAACTTTTTTCGCTCCCCATGTTAAGTCAATGGGCGTTTTTGCAGAGACTTTTTCATTCGCTCATTGTACAAAATTATATGATACGATTTTGTTTAAACTTTCAGGACTTGTTGAGAAAAGACCATAGAACATGTTGTTATGCTTCGTTAAGCTGTCAGAATTCGTTTGTTCTTTTTAGGCTCGTTTAAAATTGAAAATTTTTAACATGGAAAGTCAATGGGAGCGTCTTTGGTGCTTAATAACTTTGTACGTTGAACATATATTTAAGTGAAAAGTTGATAGGTTATACAACTTTTGATGCTCTTTCCAATGATATATACAACTTTATTGCACGTGGTGCCGTTTTTGAGAAATATAGTAAAAAAGCACGACATTACCGAGATTTGAACTCAGACCTATGTCGTTACGGTGTCAGGCGGACACGAGGACAGGTGGCGCCGCCGCCGCCCGCATGGCGGCGGGAATGTGAACTAACCTGTTTACCATCTATGGTATGGTACCATCGGGGGACCGGCCGCCGTCGGCACCATTTCGGGACTTTGCATCGCAATAAAAGGCTTATTTACAATTGAAAATGGACTAGCGAGAGTCGTTATGGAATCAGAATTTGATGCTCTACAAAACTAGGCTATTTTCATTGTGATGGCATCACAGACTACACCGCTAACCCCAATAAAGCAGATTTATGTCGCGTCATCGATGATTACATATAATGTTTCTTTGATATATATGTAGTCGGGTCTTTCAGCTGCGTC